TGTGAATCGCTGAGCGACAGCCTTGGAGTCTTCCAGCTATAAATTTGGATTTGTTTACTCTTGTAAATGTATCAGTTTTTGCTTCATATAGTTTGAAGCTCTGTTATTAGGTATATATACCTTTGGAATTATGTTTTCTTTGTAAAGTAGCCTCATTATGAATCGATCCTCTGTTTCTGGTAATGTTCTTTGCAGTGAAATCTACTTTATCTAATATTAACGGAGACATTCCAGCTTTCTCTTGATAAGTGTTAGCATAGTTTATCTTTTTCCAGCCTCTGACTTTTTTAAACAACTTATTTTAATAGCTTCATTTATTTATATAATTTACATACCATGAATTAACTCATTTAAATCGTTCGATTCAGGGGCTCTCGGCTGGTTCCGTCAGTAGACCTTGTGACTCTTGATCTCACGGTTGTGGATTTGAGCCCCATGTTCGGTGTAGAGATGACTTAAAAATGTACAGTTCAGTGGCTTCTAGTGTTTTCATAGACTCGTGCATCTGTATGAAACCAATTTTAGAGCATCTTCACTAGCCCAGAAAGGTACCATGAACCTTAGCCATCACCCCTTCTGGCCACCCAGCCCCTCCCCCAGCCCTGGGCGACCACCCATCGGCTTGCAGTCTCTGTAGATTTGCCAGTTGGGACATTCCACATACGGGGAGTCCTATAGTATGTGTCCTTTGTGACTGGCTTTTTCGTGGAGCAGACTGTTTTCAAGGCCCATGTGTGTTATACCGTGTGCCAGTAATGCATTTCTTACTCCTACCAAGTAACACTTCGTTTGTAGATGGACCTCATTTTATTTATCTATTTAAACAGTCTGTTTATAGTTGATGGACATTTGGGTTGTTTCCACTTTTTGGCTATTATGGAAATTCGTGTTGGAGTTTTGATGTGGATATATATTTTCATTTCTCTTGGGCCTGTACCCAGGAGTGGGATTGCAGGACCACACGGCACTCGACTCTGTGTTTAACTTTTCAAGGATCTGCCAGGCTGTTTCCCACAGCTGCACCGTTTTTACATTCCCCCCAGCAATGCATGAGGGGTCCGGTGTTTTCCTATTTTTGCCAGCATGTTGCTGCCCCTTTTTATTATTATTACAGCTGTCCTAGTGGGCGTGAGGTGCTGTCTCCTTGTGGTTTTGACTCCATTTCCCTCATGTCTACTGATGTGGAGCATCTTCTCATGAACTTGCTGGCTGCTTGTTTATTTTCCTTGGAGAAATGTCTGTTCAGATCCTTTGTCCATTTTTAAATTGGGTTGTCTTTTTATTGTTGAGTTACAGGAGTTCTCTGTACGTTACAGCCGTTAGGTCTCTAGACATTACAGCCGTATCAGAAACAAGATTTGAAAGTATTTTCTCCTATCATTGTGGGTTGTCTTTTCCCTTTGATACACAAATGTTATAATTTTGGTGAAGTCCAATTTATCTGTTTTTGTTGTTTTTGCTCATGCTTATGGTGTCCCAGGTTAAGAACCTGTTGCCAAGCAGGTCACGAAGATTTATCCCTCTTCTTTCTTCTGAGAATTGTAGTTTGAGCTCTTACATTTCGGTCTCTGATCCACTTTGAGTTACTTGTGTGTGTGGTGTGTGGTGGGAGTTCAGCTTCATTCTTCTGCACGTGGACGTCCATTTGTCCAGCACCATTTGTTGGAAAACTTCTTTCATCACTGAATTATCTCTACATTTGTCAAAAATCAATTGACCACATATGCGAGGGCTTATTTCTGGACTCTTCTGTTCCATTGATCTGTGTTGTCTGCCTTATACCAGCACCACACTGTCTTGATCACCGTAGCATTATATTAAGTTTTGAAATAAGGAATTTGAGTCTTCCTGCTTTGTTTTCAGTATTGTTTTAACTATTTTGGGCCCCTTGCAATCGCAGGTGAATTTCCACTTCTGCAAAAAAGGCCATTGGAATCTGGATAGGGGTTGCATCGACTCTCTACTTAATTGTCTTTTAAAGGGACTTAAATAATAAGACAAATCTTTTGTATTTATTCCGTACTTATCATTTCTGGCACTGTCACTCCTCCTCCTAAATGTAGATTTCTATCTGGTATTGTTTTTCTTCTGCCTGAAGGATTTTATTTAATGTCTTTGTAATGCAAGTCTGCTGGTGATAAATTCAGCACTGGTCTATCTGAAGTCTTATTTCACCTCTGTTCTTGAAGTTTCCACTGGGTGTAGCTCTCTGTTAATAGGTTTGTTTTGTTTTGTCAAGACGTTGCCCATCTCCCAGCTTGTCGAGGAATCTGCCGTCATCTCGTGTGCTGCTTTATGAGCTGAAGTATGTTTTCCCTCCAGGTGATCTTGGTGTTTTCTCTGCATCACTGGTTTGAAACACTTTTGTGATGTGCCTCGGTGTAGCTTTTTTCATTTTGCTTGTGCTCAGGGGTCAACGGGTTGCTACTGTCTGTAGGTTTGTAGTTTCCATCAGATTTGGGAGCTTTTCAACCATTACTTTGTTTCACGTACTTTTATCCTCACCCTTTTCTGTCCCCGTGTGTGAAGCCCCTTGAGGTGGTCCTCCAGATCGCTCCTGTGCTCTTTGGCTTTTCAGTCTTTCTTTTTCTGTGTGTTTCATTGCTGTTTCATCAAGTCTCCTAATCTCTTCTGCGGGTGATCCCATCCAGTGCCCCCTTAACCTCACTCTGTAATTCCATCCTCCGTGTCTTCCGGGTCCCTGCTCCGCAGTGTTTGGTCGGCTTCCTGAGCCCGTAGAAGTCAATCAGCCGGGCGACAGCTTGACTCCTCGCCGTGGACCAGTCTCCCTCCCTTCTCGCTGCCAGTTTCTCGGAGCTGGGAGATGGTGCTGTTGTTTCTGTGTGTCCCATGCCTTGTTCAGGCTAAGAGAGCAACCCCCCCCCCCCCCCCCGGCTCCGCTGGGCCCTGCTGGCACGCCCCCTGCTTGCCCCGGTGGCTTAGGGCCTCCTGCGTTTGCTGAAAACAGGTGCTGCTGTCCGCCTGGGGGAGCAGTGGGATTGCTCCGTCTGTCCCTCTGCATGGCCCACCTGGTGGCTCTCTCCCAGGTGTGCACCGATTGTCCCCTCCGTTCGCAGGTCTGCCACCTTGCTGCCTTGTCCATCATCTTGCAGCACCACCTCACCCCAGGTCGGCTGGCCCCCCTGCCACTGTCTCTCTGCACCATGGTCAAGGTTCCCCTGGTAGGCCGGGGCGGGGGGGGGGGGGGGGGGCAGGGGCTTTCATGGTCATGTCCTACCCCTCGCTGCCTGATGTCCAGTGACGTGAAAATTATCGTTTAGTCACATGAAGTTCTCGGTTAATTGTAGCTTTTGCACATGGGAGGCAGACGCAGTCCCTGTTACTGTCTTACAGCCCAGCAGGAGGTGCAAGCCCCCAGCTCTGCTGTGTCTGAAAAGCTACCTCTGTGCTTGTGGGCGGAGTGGGGGCTGGGCTGAGGCCGACTGGTCTGGACGTGAGTGTGCTCATGCCCGCGTGTGTCACAGTGTGTAGCTGTCTTGCCTCAGGACAGCCTCTGATGGTCGCCCCAACGCCTGGTGAGATGTCCACGCTCCAGCTTGAGGCTCATGAGCGTGTTCTGCCCTGGTTGCCCTCCTAGGCTTGTCTGGAAGTTGGAGAGACCCCCCACCCCCCAGCTGGCCAGTGCTTTCCAGGGCACCTGCCTCATGAGAAGCCGGGCAGGTTCTGGGACCCCAAGGTAGCTGTGTGGCCGGGGTGTTGGGGCTGCCACGCAGGATGGGTGTGGACAGGAATCTGTGCTTTGCTGTCTCCCTGGGACTGGGCCACGGGAGGGCAGCATCAGGAAGGACAGAGCTGAGCCGACTTGGTTTGAAAAGACACAGGCCTCTTCCCAGAGCAGGCTGTGTGGGTGGCTGGGGGCAGATGAGCAAGACCCGCCCCCGTCCTCGGGAAATAGCCGTTCTCCAACCAGGCTCCCCTTCCTCTAGCTCGTCCCCCACCAGCTTGTGTGTTTTCAGTTTTTAGATCAGAACTGGTCTTGCTCAGTATCACCCTTTTCCTTATGCATATTTCCCAGCTGTTTTCTTGGTCAGAATCTATACTTCGTATCGAATAGCAAATAAGTGAAAATGCCCTTGTTTCTCTCAAGAAACAGAGATATCAACTTCCTTCTTCCTCAGCAGCCTTCCGTGGGCTTTGTTTTTCTTCTGTAAGCTGGGAGCCCTGCAGAGTCTGCATAGGGTGGCCATTGGGAAAGGGACCGCAGGGGAGGACATGCCACAGGCCCGTGGGGGTCGTGTCCTGGCATCTGGGGCCACGGGCAGGTTGCACTCACCCCTGGGGACCCCTCCTTGAGCCAGGGCACAGTGCCACCTTGCCTGCCCCCAGCCCAGAGCCCTCTCTGGGTCTGGGGGTGGGGATGGCAGCGTCCTCTCCCCTCTGGTACTTTCCGCCCAGGCTCTGGGCAGGCGGGTGGGGTGTCCCAACTGGGGCACACTCAGTGGTCTGTCCACCAGTTCTGAGTATCCTGATCCATGCTCCTGTCCCATCACTCGGCCTGGGCCCCCACCGTCTCAGAATAGGTGAATAGAGGGATCAGAGTGGGGCAGAGTGGTGCCGTGTGGACCTCAGACCTGCCTAGTGCAGGCTCTCTCTGCCCGGTCCCTGGTCAGCAGCCTGACTTCCAAGAGAGAGTGTGCTGCACAGAGTGGGGCTGGAGGTCCTGTCCCCACCTCGTCTCCCTGAGCCCCCAGCTGGTCACCTGATGGCCCAGGTCCTTCCCTAGCCTGGCCCCACTTGGCCATCAGCCCCACCTAGCTCCTCCCTGGCTCCATCCCCACCTGACTAGTAGCAGTAGCTCTGCTACCCCATGTAGCCCTTAGGTGTCCAGCAGCCCCCGTCCAGCTTCTGCTGTGTCTGATTGTGTCTTTCCCCGATGTCCGGCTTGTGCACACTTACATGGGCATCGTCCCCACCAGGTGTCTGGCTGCAGGGCTAGCTGGCATCGGCCTCCCTCTCATGAGTGTCTGGTCTCCACACAGGCGTTTGGACAGGCGCACACGAACCACAAGAAGGTGGCCGCAGACGGCGAGAGCCGGGAGGAAAGTCTAATCCAGGAGTCAGCCTCCAAGGAGCAGTACTATGTGCGCAAGGTGCTGGAGCTGCAAACGGAGCTGAAGCAGCTGCGGAACGTGCTCACCAACACGCAGTCGGAGAGCGAGCGCCTGGCGTCCGTGGCGCAGGAGCTGAAGGAGGTACCCCAGCAAGTCCGGCGGAGACGGGAGGGCAGGGAGGTAGAGGGCTGTGCTGCTGCCCTCGAGACGGCAGCAGCTGGGGCGGTAGGTGGAGTGGGGAGTCTGTGGGAGCTGCCATCTGGGCCACGGCCCTGGGACCTCTGGGTTCTCATCAGGAGGGGAAGGGGTCTTGTCTGCTCTGGGCCGCAGGGGGACCTGCTCTCTGCCCTCTGTTTACCGGGGTGGGGGGCGGTGACAGGTGACCAGATGGACAGACGATTCTGAGTGGTGGCCAGCGTGGGGTTCCACACTCCCACGTGTGGGTTCAGGGTGGTTGGGATTCCACAGGGCTGGGAGGGGGACTCTGCTGAGGTTCGGGACAGAGCCCAGGGCCTGGCAGCAGTGGGGAGCAGTCACACCCCCCTGGTTTGGGGTCAGAGGTCATCAAGGCCTACGGGCCTGGGAGGAGCGTGGCCTGGATCCGAGAGCCACGCTGTCCTCGGCTGTGTGGAGCCAGAGTGCATGATTTCATTTCCTCCCACGGGATTACCCTGCTTGGGATGGGAGGAGGGGTGGCTGGGGATGCGGATTTGATCTCCCTGAGGGGTCTCTCAGCCTCACTGCTGGCCAGGCCCCCTGGCCCAGAACAGCCGGTGCAGGCTCTTACCCAGCCAGCCTTGTGCTGCTCTTTGCCTCTTCCAGAAGGGCCTGTGTGGGCTGTCGGGAGAGCCCCAGTGACCTGCTGACTCCTGGCTTTGGGCATCAGGAAATGAGCTCAGCCAGGCCCACACAAGAGCAGGTTTGGTGGGGCCTCGGGAGGAAGCCTGCCCCTCCCCACCCGCACGCACTCTCGGCTGCCTTTCTCTCCAGGCCCCGCCTGTTGCCCCGCAGGTGCCCTGTTGGGGTGGAGGCTCCCCACTGCCACCAGGCAGCATCCCCGCCACCGCCAGCCCCGTCTGTACCTGCCTCTGTCGCTCTTCTGCTGGTCCTGGTCTCACGGCCGCTGCCAGGCAGCTGCGCCAAGCGCTGTCCCCGATAAGTGCCGCCCCACGCCTGCCGTGGTGTGGTGCGGCTGTGTGGGTCGTGCAGGGTCACCCAGCAGACACCCTGCCACGAGGAGAACTGGGTGCCCAGTGCCCAGTCCTGCCGCCTTCCCGGTGCAGTGATACCCAGCTGCACCGTACCCTCTGACCAAACCCCCCCCCCCATGACAGTCAGCCTGGTGTCCGCCCCCCTAGGAGGATCCAGTGGCTTGTCATGTGACGTTTATAACAGCCGTGCCCCACCCTGGAACTCATTCTCTCAATGGCTTCCCTCATCTCCTAGGTGGAGAAAGCAAGGAGCAGGGTCACCAGGCTGGCAGCTTTAGGGTGCTGACCTCTGACCTCTGCACAGTCTGTGGACAGGCCCAAGGCAAGCTCTGGGGGGCTGGGCGTGGCTGCAGTTGGCTGGAGGCAGTCGGGGTGTGCACCCGAAAGCTTCCAGAGATTTGCCCTAGGGAGGGGTGGGGGCTGCCGGGCTGGAGAGGAGTCAGCATCGCCCGCCCAGGTGACCTTGCTGTCCTGGTGGCCCCAAGTGTCTAGAGCCAGGCCTAAATAACAGAGATGTTCCAGCAGAATCCTGTGCCCCCGCCCCACCCCCACGGTGAGACCCAGGAAGGGCTTGATTGCTGTGGTGGTGACGACGGGTGGCCAGGAGCCTACTGGAAGCCAGCCAGGCACTGCTCACCGGCTGAGGCGGGTGGTGGGTCGGGTGCCAGGTGGGCTCTGCAGCGTGGGGTGGGGGGTGGTGTGGGAGGGCACTTGGTTCCAAACCAGGGGATGGAAGACAGCCTGGAGGCAGAGTGGGCGGGTGGAGGAGGCATCAGGGGTGGAGCCTCACCCGGATGAGGGGCTGGACCCCACAGGGAAGTGTACATTCCTCCCGGGCAGCAGGCCCAGACCTGACTGGGCCCCAGGGTGGCCCGCCCCCACCCCCACCCGCCTCGTTCCCTGGCCTCTGCAGTGACCCCGGGGGTCCCTGCACACCCACGAGAGGGTGCCTCCTGGCCCCAGGCGGGCGCGCCTGCTGCTTCCCAGCCTGCCTCCCCAGAGCCAGCTCTTTTCCCGCCGGCGGCTGCAGCTGTGGGCACAGGGCTTCCTAGGAACCCAGTTCTGGTGGATTACAGTTAGTTCCACCAAGGTGTCTGGTCCCCTGCGCCTCCACTGCCATGTGTACAGCAGAGCTTTGGGACCGTGCCTGTCCCTGCAGAAGCCACACTGTGTGGCCTGTCCCAGGACTCTGGTCAGACGCCTGCAGCGCCTGCCTTGAGACGGTGGGGCTAGCCCGGGTCACGGAGGAGGGCAGTGGGGGGCCACTTTGTGTCCCTCTGTCTGGCTGTCACTAGCACCCAGGTGAGGCTGGTCCGTGGGCTCCCTCTCCCGATGCCCCTTCCTGTCTCTCTCCTTGCTCCTCCTCCGCCGCCAGCACCCAGACCTGGAGTGTGCCCCTGCTGTGGAACCTTCCAGCAGGGAGTGTCCCTGCCATGTCTGTCCTCTGTGGGCCCTCGCACGCTTTCCTCATCAAAGGGCAGTGTCTGCTCCCACACTGTCCTCGGGGCAGCTGGGGGCTGGGGTGTGAGCGTGCCGGGCAGATGGGCTGGGGGCTCTGAGGCCAGCCCCGTCATCACACCCGTTTTGCCGACGAGGAAGCTGAGGTCTGGGGGTCCTCGTGTGTCCCCCCTTGTCTCCCTGGCCTGCACCCTGTCGGGGCTTCACGTGTTTGCACCTCATGCCTGTCATCAGGGCTGCTGTTGACAGGCTACCTGGGAGAAGATGCTGACTTTAGGGAAAACCGAACTGCGTGGTAGCCAGTTGGAGCTTGTTTGAGCCCCAGAGCCGGGTGTGGGCCGGGCAGAGGTGCCGTGTCTGCGTGGGAACCAGAGCGAGAGGTTCAGTTCCTGCAGCCTCAGCACGCGGCACCCTCACTCGTCACCTGGTGTCTGGGGCCGGCTTGGCTGCGTGCGACTCACCTGGCTGCCCACGGGGCCACGTGTGCCCTTTGTCAGCCCCGGTGCTTACGATCAGAGGCTGTGTTGTAGTTCCTGGTGACGGAGCAGGGTGGGACGTGACTCCTGAGCACCCACGTGGGCCGCACCACACACACGTCACCCTGAGCTGGGAAGGCTGAGGCGGCCCTGGCCTTCGGGGCAGATGCCCCACGTTTGTCTTTCCACCATCTGGTTGGCCTTGAGGTCTGCTGGTCTTGCCGTGCAAATGTGGGTAGCTGGCCGGTTTTGGGCTGTGGCTTCTGCCCCAGGTGGCCGTGTCAGGCCGTGCCACACATGTTAGAGTGACTCCTCACCCCAAGCAAAATGACTTAGGACGGAGAGCAAGGTGCTCCTGGTGGAGGGATGCGCAAGCATTTGCTTGTGCTTCTTGGAAAGTGACGAAGTGCTCTGGGTCCGGGTAACAGTGAACACAGGGCTAACTAAAGCCACTGAGGTGTCCACTTTCAGCGGGTGGTCTCACAGCATGTGAGTTAGATTTCAACGAAGGACAAAGGCCGTGTGCAGGTTTAGCTCAGTAGTACAGCCTGGTGTTCAGGTTCCGGGGTGCAGGTTCCTGGGGGGCCCCCGGTGGGCAGCACCTCCTCTTTCTGTCCCTCTCAGGGCCGACCCTGTCTCCCCTCCATGTCCTCCGTGCGGAGTAGGCCGGTGCTCCCCGCAGGTGCGTCGGACTAGGGTGGGCTGAGCCCCAGGGGGGAGGCCCCAGCCCGCTGTGGCCGGGTGGCAGTGTTGAGCACACAGCCCTGGCTTTTACAGGTCAGTCACCGTGTTGGTGGTGAGGACTGTCCAGGGCAATAGGCCCGGAGATACCGTGAGATACCGTGCGTGGGAGTGAGAGGGAGGGAGGGAGGGAGTCAGGAGTTGGCCCTCGTGACTGGGGGGCGGGTGGGTCCAGAATCTGCGGGGTGGGCCAAGGGCTGGAGACCCCAGGGGATCTGGAGGCAGAATTCCTCCTTCCTGAGAATTCTAGTCTTGTCTTGAGGACTTTGAGATGATTGGATGAGGCCCACCTGCACAGTGGGGAGGGTGCTGTGCTAAGTCACACAGTACTCTCACCGTTACCACACAGGCACAGTGGCAGCTAGGCTGGCGGACCCTGTGTCTGGATGTGGGGCCGTGCCACGTTGGCGCTGACACTGGCCGTGACACTGTCCCACACGGAGGACCGAGTGCAGCTGTGTGGAGGGCTTCCAGCTGCCTCTCCAGATAAATGGGAGTCACTGGTTCCTCTGGTCGCCGCTCATCCTGGGACATTTTGCTTATTTTTGCCTGTTTGACAGAAGCTTTGGTTTCTGGGTGGGCCTTGATTTTCCTCCAGTCTGTAACTTGGTGTCTGTTTCTTCTGGTGTCAACTCTCAGCCTCCTCTGGGTCACTTTGCTGGAGACTTTGGTAGTGACATTTGTCAGGAGTGCGTGCTGTACGGCAACTCCCTCTTTCTGTTGTTCTCGTGTTTTTTCTTTCTGGTCCTATTTCCTTTTCCCAATCTGGCATTATTTTACTGTTTTTCCCTGCACGGAATCTTGGAATCTCGTCTGCGAAGCCTGGATGTGGTCACGAGAGGGCCCAGCACCAGCGGAGAGGCCAGTGTGTCAGGGGAGAGGGTGGAGGAAGGGGCCGGGGGCGACGGTGTTTCCAGCCGAGGACCCCGGGGTGCTGGCCTGGCCTGGGGGCGCCAGATGCCGCCTGGAGCGTGGAAGCAGGCAGGTGGGAGGCAGCTTGTGTAGGGTCAGCCCTCCCCGAGGGGGTGGTGGCTGTGTCCGGAACAGTTTCAGTTGCCACAGGGCGGAGTGGAGCTGCCTCCAGCAGGCAGGCGGCTGCTGAGCGTCCCGTAACACCCAGGGCGGCCCGAGTGTCAAGAGGACTGAAGTCGAGGGGCCCGGCGCCTGGTGGCGGCAGGCTGGGAAATCCCGAGTCTCAGTGCACAGCGCACACAGGTGGTACCTGCATCCTCAAGGCTGTGTGACATCACCCACAGCTCGTACAGCTCACTCACCCGGCGTGTACACGAATTTGTGCTCCATCCCAAATCCACCCCGGGATTCTTCAGAGGGGGGCCCCTCCAGGTGCGCCCACCCCCGCCCACCCCATATCCCGCCTTCTCGCTCTCTGTGGATGGGCCTGGTCTGACCATTTCCCGAATATGGGATCACACAGTGGGTGAGCCATGTGTCTGGTGGCTCGGGGTTCACCTCAGCCCGTGAATGTGCCACGGCTGAACACGTCCCCTTGCGTGAATGTGCCACGTATTGTTTATTTGCTCATCGTCTGGTGGGCTTTTGGGTTGTTTCCATATTTGGTTGCTGTGAATAACGCCGCCTGAACACTGGGGCACAAGTTTCTGTGTGGACCTGTTTCCGCTTCTCTGGGATGGGCGCTGAGGAGGCATTGTGGGGTCAGGTGCTCCGGGCTGGTCAGGCCGCTGCGGCCTGTGAGGAAAGAACTGCTCTTAGCCCATTTTACAGATGCAGACACCAGGGGTCAGATCGGGCTGACAGCCTTCACTGCTGACTGCAGGGCACACTGCCCGTGGCCGGCTGCCCACACCCGCCTTCCTCTCCGCAGATCAACCAGAACGTGGAGACCCAGCGTGGCCGCCTGCGGGACGACATCAAGGAGTACAAGTTCCGAGAGGCCCGCCTGCTGCAGGACTGCTCGGAGCTGGAGGAGGAGAACATCAGCCTGCAGAAGCAGGTGTCCGTGCTCAGGCAGAGCCAGGCAGGTGTCCGCGCCGCAGGGCGCTGCCCTGTCCCCTTCCCTGCAGCCGAGCCTGGGGCCGCACCTCACACTGCCGGGGGACGGGGCGTGGCCAGGGCCCTGCCTGTCCCGGGCCAGACAGCACGGGCTTCACTCGAGGGCTGGCTGCCCCCGAGGTGCAGGCCACCTGCACTTGTGACCTGAGACAAGGTTGGAGGTGATGGTCATGGACATACGTGTTTTATGTGTCTTAAAATGTTTAATGTTAATTAAGTAGGTTTGTAGAATTTCTTTTTTATTTTGAGAGAGAGAATCTTATGCAGGCTACATGCTTGGCACGGAGACCAGCGTGGGGCCCGATCCCCACGACCTGGGGATCATGACCTCAGCTGAAATCAAGAGGCAGACACTCAACCTACTGAGCTGCCCAGGCAACCCCAGTTTCACAAGATTTAAAGCGAGTGTACACTTGGTAGTGCTTTAAGTAACTGGACACATTTGCAGCAGGGATGTGTGTGTTCTGATCTCCGTAGCATCTCTGGCTGCGTGAGCGGCGCGCTTTGCACGTACACAAGTGTCCCGGGTGTGGGCTGACGTGCGTGTGCACCTTGTGCCCAGAGCCCCACCCCACCCCCGGGTCCCCCATCCCCTGCTGTGGCGCCCCCCTCTTTCGGGCACAGGAGAGTGCTGCTCTTTTCCAGGTGGAGTTTGAGGGCCTCAAGCATGAGATCAAGCGTCTGGAGGAGGAGACGGAGTACCTCAACAGCCAGCTGGAGGACGCCATCAGGCTCAAGGAGATCTCGGAGCGGCAGCTGGAGGAGGCGCTTGAGACGCTGAAGACGGAGCGCGAGCAGAAGCTGAGTCTGCGCAAGGAGCTGTCGCACTACATGAGCATCAACGACTCCCTGTACACTAGCCACCTGCACGTCTCCCTGGACGGCCTCAAGCTCGGCGATGACGCCGAAGCCCTGGCCAACGGCTTCGAGCACGCCGGCCTCGCCAAGCTGCCGCTGGACAACAGGACCTCCACGCCCTCCAAGGACGGCCTCGCCCCGCCCTCCCCCAGCCTGGTGTCCGACCTCCTCAGCGAGCTCAACATCTCCGAGATCCAGAAGCTGAAGCAGCAGCTGGTGCAGGTGCGGGTCCAGGTCTCACCGCCCCGGGGCCACGTGCACCCTCCTCGTCTCCAGCCCTGCCCCGTCCTCTCGCCTGTGTTTGCCGTGAAGTCTGCGTCGTTGCCGCAGGTGGGGCTGTGGCGCTGCGGGGGAGGTGCTGGAGCCGTGGGCTTCTGGCCACCAGATGGAAGGTCGAGCCGCCCCAGGTTTCCTTGCCCCCCTCGCGGTGCCCCATATGGGGTTCCGCGCCGAGTCCTGCGGATGAGTCTCGTCAGGGTTCCCTGCCCTGCACGGAACAGAATCCGAGGGTCTGCACCATGCCCCCCCGCCCCCACCCGCCCCCTTCTCCTCGCATCTCCACGGAGGAGCGCCCCAGCCTCCGGGTGGGGGAGGGCCCGTCATGGCCCGCGTGTGACGCACTCACTGCACCTGTTACAGAGACCTGCAGGGTGACAGCGGCGGCACGGGCGGGGTCCTGCGAGTGTGTGGCCCCCACGGGCTAGTGACGGGCCTCTTGTGCTTTTGCAGCTGGAGCGGGAGAAGGTAGGCCTGCTGACGACGCTGCAGGACACACAGAAGCAGCTGGAGCAGGCGCGGGGTGCCCTGTCAGAGCAGCACGAGGAGGTGAGCCGCCTCACGGAGAAGCTCAGTGCCCTGCGGCGCCTGCAGGCCGGCAAGGAGCGGCGGACGGCCCTGGACAGCGAGAAGGAGCGGGACAGCCATGAGGATGGTGACTACTACGAGGTGGACATCAACGGGCCTGAGATCCTGGCTTGCAAGTACCGCGTGGCCCTGGCAGAGGCCGGTGAGCTCCGCGAGCAGCTGAAAGCCCTGCGCAGCGCACACGAGGCCGGCGAGGCCCGGCACGCGGAGGAGAAGGGCCGGCATGAGGCCGAGAGCCAGGCGCTCACCGAGAAGGTCTCCCTGCTGGAGAAGGCCGGCCGCCAGGACCGTGAGCTGCTGGCCCGGCTGCAGGCGGAGCTGAAGAAGGTGAGTGATGTCGCAGGTGAGACGCAGGGCAGCCTGAGCGTGGCCCAGGACGAGCTGGTGACCTTTAGCGAGGAGCTGGCCAACCTCTACCACCACGTGTGCATGTGCAACAATGAGACGCCCACCCGTGTCGTGCTGGACTACTACCGAGAGGGCGCGGCCGGCGCCGGCCACTGCAGCCCCGAGGCCCGGGAGCGCCGCTCACCCGTCCTGCCCAAAGGACCGCCAGCCTCAGAGGCTGGGGCGGGGGACAGCAGCCCCTCGCCCAGCCCTTCCCTGCCCTCGCCCCTGAGTGACCCACGGCGGGAGCCCATGAACATCTACAACCTGATCGCCATCATCCGAGACCAGATCAGGCACCTGCAGGCGGCCGTGGACCGCACCACGGAGCTGTCGCGGCAGCGCCTGGCCTCCCAGGAGCTGGGCCCTGCCTCGGATAAGGACCGGGAGGCACTCATGGAGGAGATCCTCAAGTTGAAGTCTCTGCTGAGCACCAAGCGGGAGCAGATCACCACGCTGCGCACGGTGCTCAAGGCCAACAAGCAGGTGCGGGGCCGGCGGACAGGGCCGGTGGGGCTCCTCCCTCCCGTGGCCTCCACCACGACTCCCTGAGGCAGGCGGACCCCTTCCCAAGTTTCTCAACTACGTGCCCTTTGTGTGTCTGACCCCTAGACGGCCGAGGTGGCCCTGGCCAACCTGAAGAGCAAGTACGAGAATGAGAAGGCCATGGTGACCGAGACCATGATGAAGCTGCGTAACGAGTTAAAGGCCCTCAAGGAGGACGCGGCCACCTTCTCCTCACTGCGAGCCATGTTTGCCACCAGGTAATGCCCGCTGGTCCCGTTGCTTCAGTGCCCGGTGTGACCCTTGCTTCACATGCAAGACGAGGAGGCGGAGAGGCCAGGCCCCAGTGGGCGGATTGGAGGCATGAGGTTTGAAGGGGGCGGGGGCTCACAGACGAGGAGTGAGCCCCCCGAGCCCCCCGAGCAAGTGAGCAGACGCACAGAGATGGCCCCCTGGCGGGCAGGGGCGCAGTCCCGGGGTACCCATCCCATCTGACCTGCCCGTGGAGGATCGGGCTGGGGCGGGCAGCCGGCTCCGGACGCAGGTGTCCGCAGGCCTCTGCCGGGAAGTCATTGCTGGGTGCTTCTCGGGGGCCTGGGTCCAGGGGTCCCCACCACCCAGGGGCCACGGTGCCATCTGCTGGCTGGCAGGCAGACACCCGGGGTGGGTCCTTGAGGCTGAGGAGGCTGAGGCTGTGGGTCGGATGGGGTTAGAAACCAGACCAGAGCTGCTGCCTCTCCATGTGGGAGGGGAGGGACGAAGAGCAGGAGAGAAAGCCCCAGGCTTCCCTGCAGGCTCGCTCTCCTGGGCAGAGCTTGGGAGCGGCCTCACCGCCAGCCTCTCTGCACGTGGGTGCCCGGAGACCTCGCTTCTGCAGCCTGGTTCGGGTAATAACTTGCTTCTCCAACGCAGCCGAGGTCACAAACTCACTGTTGGCCCTTGGCTTCCGGAGAGGGAGGACCATGGCAGGTGGAGGTGAGGGGCAGGCATGCCCAGTGCTGCTGCCTTCGGGGACAGACCTGGAGTGGGTGTTTCTCTCTCCCAGCTCAACGGGGAGAAGGGCACATGTCCCAGCGAAGCAGAGAACAAGCCGGGGGCACATCCATATGTGTCTCTCGCTGACTCTGGTTGCCATCAGGTGACTTTCTAAGCACCTACTGTGTGCGTGCACGGAGCAGGAACACACCAAACGCTGCCCTCAGGTTTACCCGTGAGGGGTGGGTGCCCCGGCTACCTCCCGTGGAGAAAACCAGCTTGGGAGCCCTTCCCGGAGAAAGCGGAGTCGCTGAGTGCACAGCCTCCTCCGCCAGGCCCTCCACGCGGGTCCTCAGCCACGCTCTTGCCTCTGGCGCCCCCACAGGTGTGACGAGTACATCACGCAGCTGGACGAGATGCAGCGGCAGCTGGCCGCCGCCGAGGACGAGAAGAAGACGCTTAACTCCCTGCTGCGCATGGCCATCCAGCAGAAGCTGGCGCTGACCCAGCGGCTGGAGCTGCTCGAGCTGGACCATGAGCAGACCCGGCGAGGCCGCGCCAAGGCCACCTCCAAGGCCAAGCCGGGCACCCCGAGCGTAAGTCACACCTGCGCCTGCGCCAGCGACAGGGCTGAGGGCGCCGGGCTCACCACCCCGGTGCTCTGCGGCGAGAAGTATAACATTTACTGTGATTAGGGCCACGGGGCCGCCGCTGCCGCTACCCTGCCGCACGCCACCTGTCTGCTTCACCTCCACTAACCCAGCAGCAGCGGGACCGCGGTGCTAGGCGGGTCTTAACCGTGACTAATGCGCAGAGGGAAGGATTTGGCCGAGGCGGCGTGCTGTTCTACCTGGACCCTGTGAGCTTGGTGTCTGTTCTCAGCCCTCGGGACCACCCTTCATAGCAGCTACTCTCTCGGTGGGGGGAGGGGGTCTCCTTGCAAAAACATGGCTTTCCAGGGCCTGTGCGCCGTTGGCTCCTGCAGGAGGAGGGGACAGAGCCGGAATTGGACTTGCATGTTCCCTGCACGTGTCTAATGTGCGGCGGCGCCGGCACCAGCAGCAGCGTTCGAGGTTCCGGCCCGAGTGCAAGGCGTGGCCTCGGTGGATGCGTGTGGCTTGGCACAGTTTACAGAGACAATTCCTTTGTAGTTTGTGCACGTCGCATTTGGGACAGAATCCCCTCCCCAGCCCTGCATCCTCCAGCACAGGTGCCTGTGTGCGGGGGCCCTGCTCACACCCGCGTGGCTCAGACACGGCTGCCACACCCGAGACCAGGGCTCTGCAGGCTCAGCCTCTCTGAGATCTGCATGCCTGTCTGGTGGCCTGTGAGGGGACATATTGGCGGGTCCCAGGCCTGGGGTTTGTTGTTTTTGTTCCATGAGAAAAACTTCTTAAGTGCCTGGCCAGACTCTGTCCTCACAGGCAGCCCATCTTTTTATACTTAGGGCCTCCCCGGCCTCCCAGGTGGGTTTTCCACCCTCTGCTCGTGATCAGGGCCCAGCCCCACTTGGGAAGGGGGCCTCGCCTGGGCCCAGGCCTGTTTGGGACCCCACAGCAGGTGCGTGACTCACCCTGGCCGTGCGGCTGCAGGGGTGGTGACTGACAGGCAGCTTCAGGGCTCTCTGCTCCCGGCGTTTGGCGTCTGGCCATGCGAGTTCCCACATTTGGGAGCAAGACTTCTCAGTATTTCCCTGTCGCCCCATGGGGGCTGCGTGACATGAGGCTGCAGTCTTGTCCTTGAAGGGCTTCTTGCCCCATCTCTCCATGGGCCCCAGGGGGCATCGGCGCTACCCTCACGCTGCTCCAANGAAGGGCTTCTTGCCCCATCTCTCCATGGGCCCCAGGGGGCATCGGCGCTACCCTCACGCTGCTCCAACCCCCCCCCCCCCCCCATCCCAGCAGACTCCAGGCGCCGTGAGGACCACCTTGGATCTGGTCAACTGCTGGAGCAGGAAGAGTGGGCCAGGCCGCTCTGCTGACGGGATGTCGGGTGTCAAGGCCCCTCCCACTTGAGGAGGGGTCTACCGGGGGCCTGGCTGCCCGCTGGCCCCACACATCGCTTCCACCCTCTGCCGAGCCTGGCACGCAGCTTCTATCCATACTTGCAGGGGTCTCCCCAAGGCACGGCCCCCCTAACCCATGCAGGTCTTCTCCGCTGCCGACTAACGCACCGCGTCCTCGCCCGGCCAGACCTTCGGTGGTCGGGCCGCTGCCGGTTCTAACGCTGTCTTGTTTTCTCCCGTTTTCAGCTGTAGAGTAGCTGCCGGGAGGACTCGGCCGCGGCCCTGTCACACTGCAGCCCCTCCCCCTCCCGCGGGCCCGCGCAGAGGAAGGAAGGGCAGCCTAAAAGTCCACTTAGAAACCTGTTTGGATATGCCACTGCAGTTCTTTCCAAATTAGCATTCCCTGAGTGTTTAATGGCAGAGGACATAAAGCTTTAATGTTGAGAATGCCGCCAGCTGCTGCCTGGAGGGCCTCTGTACGGCGCTGAAGAACCGGCTCGGACAGCGGCCATCAGGCTCGCTTAGAACCCGCTAGAAACGCTCAACACTGGGGTCTCCCTGTTACAGATGCCCTTTTTTATCCGATCAACCTGTGCACTTTTGATATTTTGATATTATTATATTTGCTTCCTTAATCCCTCCCGTAGAGACGGTCTCAGCTGCCGTGGTCTGTCCCGTGGTCCTGTAGCGCTCCGTCTTAGCTCCTGCCGTGTCGATCTGGCGTCAGCACGTGGCACGGACGTGTTTCCCAGCGTGTAGCTCTAGACTGTTTCGGTGAAGGCCTCGACCCGGCAAGGAGCCCAGCCAGTCGCAGCCGCGCTGCGGTTCAGCAGCCTTTCAGGTTATGCGGCTTTATGGTTCACGTGCGAGGTTACAGATTTTAAATGCCATGTTCATTAAGAAATCCAGGGTATTCCAATTCTGGGGTTTTTCATATTGTATTATTATTATTCTTAGGAATAGTTCAATGTAACAAGAAGAAAACTTGACCTTTGCTCTGGTTAAACAGTAATAGGCACTTGAAAACAAAAAGATAAATTATTGAATGAGTAGTATTACCTACAAACTCCAGAATCTTCTGGGTTTTAGGACATTGTGAAGCATGACTGATTAACAGAATTTTATACAACTGTACCAGTGAAATTCCAAATTGGAATTGTTTTGTTACTCTGGTTGTTGTGCCGGATTGTGGCGCACTTAGAAAATCCTACAGCCGTCGGTTTCTAGGGTGTTCTGTCTCAACGCCTTTTTGTTAGTAATCCTTGCCAGTAGTGCCTTCATCAGTTACGGGAGGTGTCCCAGCGCAGTTCGTGCTCTGAAATGGACAGTGAAGAGCTAGTTGGGAATGTTGAAGGCCAGCGTGGACAGGAGGTGTGAGCGGGCACGCACCTTCACACCTGAGCCTGGGCATCCTCGTTGAGGGAAAGAAAACAGCAATTGTGCAAAATTCTGTTAGTCAGTGATTCTTTACTGTGCAGATCCTGGCAAATTCAGGGGCTGAGAAAAGGAAAGTGAACACACACCTTGAGTGTGCTTTGGGAACCAAATGGACTTGAGGGACAAGCTAAGCCAGCGGTGTGAACGACACGCCACGTTTGCGAAGAGCGGGCGGCAGTCGTGCAGGGGTGAGGGCTAGCCGTAGTATTCTTTGCAAATGTGAGGAAGAGACGTTGTGTATTCTCTCGCTTGGTGTAACTAATCACTGTTAATTTCAGGAAACAGAACTCGGTGAAGCCCCTCAGCAGCCCAGGGCTGCGTCCCGTCGGGTTCGCTGAGTGAGGCTGTGCTGACGGTAGAATTGGTACTCGCAGAGGAAGAAAGTGTCCTCTCTCCTCCAAAATAAAGGACAAATTATAATAATATATAAGTAGCAAGAGTCAAAGAATTCTGTTTCCTGGAATAAGCATTTCTTATTCCTAGTTGTAGGGACCCCTACTTTTACCTTCCGTTACAGTGTTGGTCCATAAGAAATAATGTTACATTTACAATAACTTCACCTGTATGGGGTATTTATTTGCAATGATGTCTGAGTACTGTATTTTTTCTGTGCATTACCTTAGTGTCAGAATGTTGTCTTTATTTTAAGATCATATGCATGTTCTCCTGCCAAGGAACCTTTACACAGACCCAAACAAACAAACAAACAAACAAACACAAATGCCTTCTAATTCTGAGAACGTGAGGCAGAGCGTGGAAAAGGAGTAGGAAGGAGCAGCCAGTCTCGACTTGGGACATGGGTGTCCGGCGCAAATGTCTGCAAAGCCAGTGCACATAGGAACATGGGCCTGGTAAGGGTCACGTGGTAGGACCAATAAATAAAGAATAATAAAAAGCACAAGACTTGTTCCGTGTGGCTGCTCTGCCCCCTCCTTCAGCTGAATGTGGGTCCAGCAGGCATCGTAATTCCAGGGCCTGAAACAACAAGACCAGCCTGTCAGGAGCCAGGCAGTAGGAGCCGGAAGCAGCTGGGGGCCTGTTCCCAGAGGCGCGGGAAGGAGTGGGAAGGAGGGGAGACGCGGGTGCCTCTGGCAGTGAGCAGGTGTCGTGGGCCCCCAGCGGCGTGGCGCCGAGAGTGCTGCTGTCCTTCCCGGGAGACAGAGGTTTGGATCCCGTGGGGTCCTTTGCTGCGACTCTTGCTCCGTGAACTAGGAATGAGTAGGTGGCCGAGTGACCTGTTTGCCAGGGCTAAGCTGTGCGCACCTGCAGGGGTTGGAGGTGCGCGGAGCACGGGGGGACCCTGGCCGAGGGAACGGGGGCTCCTGGGCACGCTCCAGCACCGTCTTCCAGCAGCCTCAGTCAGGCCTGACGGGCTCCCCAGGACTCAGGGCAGCTGTCTGAGGCCAAGGTCTCCCCCTGCCCCTGGGGTCTCCCCCGGCCCTGTGGCTGCTGCAGGGCCCTTTCCTCTCATGATCCACGGCTGGCGTGAGTAGCGGCTGCCTGCACCTGTGTCCAGTTTGAAACCTCTTTCAAAAGAGACCTGTTTTTCTAACTCGGTAGCTGGAAGGAAACTTCCTCCCCTGCTGGCTCATGCCGCCCCACCAGGCTCTGGGAGCAGCCCCCGACAGATCTGGAGGAGGGGCGGGTGCTGGGGGTGGGCCGGGCGGGGCAGGCGCACCCGTCCCTTGGCTGCCCCCGTGTGCGTCGCGTGTTGTGGGCCTGGCCCGGTCCTGTCCACTGGGGCATTTGACTCATAAGCACAGATGCTGAGGCTTTCTCCGCCCCTCCCCCCCCCAGTGTGCTCTGGACTCTTGCACACCCGGTTCTTCATTTCAGGGGTGGAGCAGCAGCCGCCTGAGTTGGGGGGAGTGGAGTCACTTGGCCCTGAAAGGCCTCCCACTCAGCCTTCCCTTCCAAGGGGGAATGTCCCTATTCCCACCATGTCCATTTCCCTGTGGTGGTTTTCACCCAGCCTCTGGCAGGCCACCAGAGCTGGAAACAACAGTGCCAGCTTGAAGACAGACCTTGGGTTGAATTGCCCCCTTCAGTGGCTCACTTACCCTGGCTGACTTCTCGCTGAGCCTCAGTTTCCCCACTGTAGGATAGGGATGGTAGTTCTTGGCTCAGGGGCTGTGAAATTTCGTACAGAAGGTGCCCAACAGATGACGTGGTAAATAGTTCTTGCTGCCATGTCATCATCACCGAGGTCTGGGCTGCCAGGCCATGGGGCTGGTCCTTTGTCCTGTAGGAGTATGTAGGAGTTTAAATCAGCTTTTAACTAAAGTGTAATTTGCATTTAGGAAAGTGTATTCATGCTAATGTACACGCCAGATTTGCACACAGTGAACACAGATGTGTAACCAGCAACTACAAAGTTCCCTGGCTACTCTCCCCGCAGGGCTGCTTTTTGGGGCAGATCATAATGGGGTGCTGCTGTCTGCCAGCCCTGGCGGGGCTCTAGGCTGCCTCCCACCCTTAGGAGCCTGCCGGGACAACAGAGGTATCTGCATTCTCGTGTCACCTGCTGTGGTACCTCGGCAGGGACAGGCTGCCATCAGATTTTCCTGAGAACGTGCTCACCTTTCAGCCATGTCCGAACAGTGGGGCTGGAAGGGCTGTGTGTTACCATTTCGTCGGACTTCTGGTGGCCAAGCACACTGGCTCTTGTGAGTTCACCTTATTCATCCCTGAACCTGCTTTTGTAAACCCAGGTCCCTAAGGTGGGGGGCTTCTCCTATGCAGAACAAGCCAGTGCTGCAGTACCTCACTCATAGAAAAGGTCTGCGTAGGTACTGTGAGCACACTCTGTCCCGGGCCTCCTGGGAGGAGAGAGTAATAGAATCTCTCTCAGTCTCTCTCTCTCTCTCTCTCTCTCTCTCTCTCTCTCTCTCTCTGTCACACACACACACACACACACACACACTGGGATTCCTTTTCATCTCACTCTCAAGTAGGGAATTAAGATTTGTTTTATCTACCCAGAAGTGTTGAGGATAGCACACCATATGGGCGATTGCAGTCAAGTGTCTACTGGCTGGAGTTGTGCACCTGCGCACTCTGCACCCACCATCCTTATGAGGACGGCTGTGCGGAGCGCTCATGCGCTCTGCTCCCGCTCTCCCTCCTGGGTAACCCCAAGTCTGTCCGTACAGGCCGCTTGTGTGCATTTCTGTTCTTTACGAAATGGAAGGATACAATAGACAGCCAGAGCTAGGATGCATTTACTTACCAAACCACATTGATTTCCCACACCATGATTGAGCTGTGTGCTCATAAATGACTTTTTTTTAGATTCAAAGAGATATATATATATATATATATATATATATATATATATGTAGAATGGAAAAGAATGGAAGAAAATATTCCGTACAAAAAGTAGCTACAAGAGAACAGGACTGGCTGTACCAGTATCAGACAAAATAGACTTTAAGACAAAAATTGTTATGAGGGACAATAAAGGAAGGACAAATCATGATAAAAGGGTTAATTTGCCAAGAAGATACAACAAATATGCACCAAACAAAAGAGTCCCCGAATATACTAAGCAAAAGCTGCCAGAATGGAAGGGAGAAATAGTTCAAGAATTGGAGACTTTAATACCTCACTTTCAAGAGTAAAATAAGACTATCAGAAAGGAAGTAGAATACTTTTCCAGCCCATCAGACACGTCCAAGGTTCCAAACAGCAACAGGACAGACATTCCTATGAAGTACACATGGGATGTTCTCCATGCAGGATAAGCCATTTGTTAAGCCACAAAACAATAAAAGATTGAAATCATACAAACTATATTGTTCCATGGTATGGAATAAAATTAGGAATAATAGTGAAATGTGGGAAATTCACAAATATGTGTAAATGAAACTGTGCTTAATGGTCAAAGAAGATATCAAGAATAAGGAAGATCTCTGGGGCGCCTGGGTGGCTTAGTCAGTTAAGCGTCCGACTTTCGCTTAGGTCATGATCTCGCGGTTCGTGGGTTCGAGCCCCGCGTCGGGCTCTGTGCTGACTGCCAGCTCGGAGCCTGGAGCCTGTTTCAGAGTCTGTGTCTCCCTCTTTCTCTGACCCTCCCCTGCTCACGCTGTCTCTCTCTCTCTCCTAGAAATAAATAAAAAACATTTAAAAAAAAAAAAAAAGAATAAGGAAGATCTCAAATCAGTAATCTCTCACCTTAAGAAAATGGGGAGGAGGGAACAAACTAAGCCCAAAACAACCAGAGAAAAGGAGATGGTAAAGATTAGAGTGGAGATTATAAAATAGGCAATGGGAGGAAATGCAGAAAATCACCAAAAATCAAAAGTGATATCTTTGAAAAGATCAGCAAAATGATAGACCTTTAGACCACAAAAAAGGAGACTACTAAAAATTAGAAATGAAAGTGGGCAAATTACTTCTGATTTTACAGAAATATTAAAAGATTACAAGAAAGTACTATGAACAAATATACACCAAGGAATTAGATAACCTAAACTTAAATGTAGCAGAGAGAAGGAAGTAGTCAATAGAGTGGAGATGAATGAACTAGAAGAATCAATAGGAAAAGATCAACAAAACTAGAAGTTATTTCCTAGGAAAGGTTGACAAATAATCAAATCTTTAGCCAGACTGAAAAACAGATGACTCACAATACATCAGTGATGAGAGTGGGGATATTAATAGCAACATAACATGAATAAAAGGGATTGTAAGATGATATCACAATGCTAACAAGTTAGACAACGTTGGTAAATTGGCAGGTCACTACAATCACATGAACTATGAAAACTGACTCCAGAGGAAATAACCTTACAGACACAGAATGAGAAATTGAATCAGTACTCAGAACTCTTCCAGCAGAAACTCTGGTTTCTGGTCCAATACATAAAGATCTTAGAAGTAATCACTTTGCCCTAACAAGTGAAAAGTTGAACAAGGTGAAAAACCAACAGCCCTTGCATCTGTCAGAGAAGTGAGGTCACAGGGCACAGCCCTGTCCCCCAAATTATAGAGGCAGCCAGGTACAGAGAAGTACAGTTTACCAAAGCAGTTCTAATCCGGGCAGGAAAGCAAACTGTAATTGGCAGATTGCTGGAAGCTCATAAGGGAAGCCCAGTCATAAGGGACCCTCACAGTTCTGTGAGTTTTACCTCCAGCAGCTCTACTGGGTTCTCACCGTGAAGGTCAGAGAAAAGTCCTCTCGGGCTTCCTTCCAGCAGCAGAAGGATGCATTTTGAAATACCCTAGGACATTCTGCCCTTAACCATGCCGCTTCTCAAGACAAACTATTTTACTGTAGCTTGAGCGACCTGGGGGAAGGGAAATACTCAACTCCACTCTCCTCTGGCCATACTTCAGGGCCTGAACAGCCTGAAAGTGTGAAAAGAAAAAAACTGTGAAGCACTTGTGGAGTTTAGATTAGGGCACACACGCTCTAATCACAGACATAGCCAGTAGGCTTCTGGAAGGCCTCTTCTTCTCTGCACCTTACCAGAATTTTACTAATGCCCATTTTCTTTACTTCCCTTACCCCAGTACATCACAGCCTGGCTTGCAACAAAAAGTTCTAAGCATAATGAAATGAAAGAGGAAACAAACAAAGCAAAACAAAACACCAAACAGCAAGCATCAGACTCAGATACAGCAAAACACCAGACTCAGATATAGCAAAAGTGGTGGAAGTATCAGACCAGGAATTTAAAATCACTCTGACATTGAGGGCAGTCGTGGAAGAAGTGGACACCGTGTAGGAACAGATGGGAAGTATACACAGAGAGATGGGATGATCTAAGAATTTTTAAAATGCTGGCCATTAGAAAACACTCTGACCGTAGTAAAGCCTTGATGCACTCATTAGTAGATTGGACACGGCTGAGGAATCTCCGAGCTTGAGACTGTATCAGTAGAAACTTCCAAAAGAAGAGCAAAGAGAGAAAAAATGAGAAAAAGGAAAAGACCACCGCTGTGGGGCAACGACAGAAGCTGTGCGAGGCGCACCAGGAGGGTACCGGCGGGAAGAGAGGGGGCGCTTGAAACGACGCTTTCCCCCAAGTTGTCAAACACCAAACCACAGACCCAAGCTCAGAGAACATTAAGCAGGACAAACACCAAAATAAAGTTGCACCTATAGACATGTGATATTTAAACTACAGAAAATCAATTATAAAGAACCTTAAAAGAAGTCAGAGGTTGGAGAGCGGGAGAGTTTTACCTGTAGTGACGGAAAGATAAGAAATATCTGACTTCAGGGCACCTGGGAGGCTCAGTCGGTTAAGCATCCGACTTCAGCTCAGGTCATGATCTCACGGTTCATGGGTTCAAGCCCCGCGTCGGGCTCTGTGCTGACAGCCAGCTCGGAGCCTGGAGCCTGTTTCAGATTCTGTGTCCCCCTCTCTCTCTGACCCTCCCCTGCTCTTGCTCTCTCTCTCTCTCAGAAATAAAACATTTTTAAAAATCTAAAAAAAAAAAAAAATTATATCTGACTTCTCCCATCCAAGTACTAACCAGGCCCAACTCTGCTTAGCTTCCAAGATCAGATGCGATCAGGCACATTCAGGGTGGTATGGCCGTAGTCTATATCTGCCTTCTCAAAAACCATGCAAGCAAGAAGAGAGTGGAATGAAATATTTAAACTGGTGAAGAGAGAGAGAGAGAGAGACCGACCAGCCTATAATGCTGCATCCTGTGATATTATCTTTGAAAAGCAAAGAAGAGGGGCGCCTGGGTGGCTCAGTTGGTTGAACGTCCGACTTTGGCTCAGGTCATGATCTCATGGTTTGTGGATTCAAGCCCCGCGTCAGGCTCTGTGCTGACAGCTAGCTCAGAGCCCGTTTCAGATTCTGTGTCTCTCTCTCTGACCATCCCCTGCTCATGCTGTCTCTCTCAGAAATAAATAAAACATTAAAAAAAATTTTATAGAAAAGAAAAGAAGAAATAAAGACTTGCTCCAACAAAAATTGAGGGAGTTTGTTGCCAGTACGCTTTCCTTAAAATAATTGTTAAAAGTTTTTAAGAGAGTAGGAAAATGCTATAGATCAGAAACTCAGATCAACAAGAGAAAGGAAAATTGTTAGAGAAGGGATAAATATAGGTAAAGTAAAAACCTCCTTATACTTCTTATTGTTAATTGATCTAATAGATAGCAGTTTGTTCAAAATACTAACAGTGTTTTTGATGATTACAGCTTATGTGTAAATGAGATGAAAGACATCAATGATACAAGAAACAGGAGATAAGAATTAGGAATATTTTGTTATTATAAAG